ATTTCAAGGCAAAGTGCGCTTCCTCGCGCTCATGGACTATTGCTGCATTCGTGAATCGGTAGGTTGCTAAACAATCGGCTCGTGTGCTACCACGCAGTCGAACTGCTAGGCAAAAGAATCTTTGTGACGGTAGTGTAACGGATGGACACCTAGCGAGATAACAGTAGGCGAATGGATCGGAGCTCTCATGGTGGCGTCTTCTTCCATAGGCTTTGCCAGCGCTTGATGAAAGTCTTCGATGAACCGGCCGGTCTCTGGCTGTTCGTGGGATTCAAGATTCAGACCCTGACCCAGCGGATGTTTGACGGGTGCAGGCTCCCTTAGCAATTACAGTCACGTGATCTTCATACAGCCGAACTTGACGGGTGATTTTTGATTCTTGATATACAAGTCTTCAATTTGCTTATCATTCCGATATTCTTGGTCTGACTGTCAAGATTCTGATTCGATTTTCGTGACTGAATCCAAACTGCATGGCCATGGGTACTAGTGGTAGTGTCGTGAGTTCGCGCTTTTGACTTCTTGACTCAAGCATTTGAATGTAGGATCAAGAATTCTTACGTCGGATCGATGATTCAAGATGTTATCATTTGGACTACGGCCCTTGTTTTCATTTCAATTGCGACCCGGACTTAGATTCCTCAGTTTAGCTACGTCGCATCGACGGCCTCGAAGATGACCCCGCAGCCTCCACAATAGTTACGAGGGCAGGCGTGAGCGGCAGCGAGGTAGTTCTGCTGCTTCCCTGTTCGAGCTCACAGGTACCTCCATGGTCAACTCTTGGGTTCGTCCACGCCTCAGATCAAGGAGCGGCGCGCTAGTCTTGTGTTCGCGAATCACCTCCTTCACTCTCATTGCATTGCTGCAGTGTGGATTGGACTCGGACAGCGGCGAATTATCGAGCGTGTGGCCATTGTGTACGATGCCTTGGATCCTTGCGCGCACCGCCTTAATCGTACTTGACATTGTCTCTCGCCTTGATGCCTTCGTGGTGAGATTGAGAGCCAGGAGAATCCTCAAAAGTATCGCCATTGTGAACATCGCCTTCAACAGCGCCGTAAGCGTCTCCGTAATTGTTGGAAATGTTGTCCCTCGACTTGATGCCGGTGCGGTGCGAGGAGGAAAAGGGAGAGTTTTCGAATGTGTCTCCATTGTGTACATCGCCTTGAACAGTGCCGTAGGCATCTCCGTAATTGTTGGAAATATTGTCCCTCGACTTGATGCCGGTGCGGTGCGATGAGGAAAAGGGAGAGTTTTCGAATGTGTCTCCGTTGTGTACATCGCCTTGAACAGCGCCGTAGGCATCTCCATAGTTGTTGCTGATCGTGTTGCGCCTGTGATGATTGGCAGGCGAGTTGTTCAGACTATCGCCATTGTGGACATTTCCCTCGACGTTGCCATAATTGTCGCCATAGTCATTGTTGTTGATTTGCTGAACGGGGCGTGCCCCATCAGCTGCAGCCTTCGCTCCCTCAGCCATGTGCCCGCCCAGCCGACGGTCCAGCTGACCAGGTGTGTCGCCTGCATGTTACCAGATCAATGTGAGCGTGAAATCAGCAAAAGTGTCGTTCAAACAAATGCACCTGGCAAGTACACTTACGAGTAGCATACACCAGCTCGTTGATCGCATCTCGCGCATGAGGCGTGTCCCAGTTCCACGCGACCGACACTTTTGGTTTGTCGGCGCGACGTTGGGGTTTGTCCCAGTTCCACGAGGTCGAAACTTTGCCCTTGGCTCCATCACGAGCTTGGAGTAAGCCATGGACTTGGTCAGTCGTCGGTACCGGCAGTGCTAGGGTGGTGGCACAGCTTGCGGCAAGGAGGCCGAGAGACAGAAGAGCGTGTGAGTGCATGGCGGGCGATGGGATGCGTGCAAGGTTGGTCAAGATGAGGATTACAAGGGACAAAACAACGATTCGTTCCAGCCTGGGTACAGATGTACGCGGCAGTATAAGCAACACTTAGCTCGGACGTGAAACGGGCCATCCGTCGAAAACTTACCAGTGGAGCGAAGAGTGCAATGAGAGCAATAGAAGAAAAAGGTGGGGAAGACGTTAGTGAGGAACCAGTCCGTGGAGAAGATGATCAAATCGGAAATCGTGGGCGATCGTCGCTCTCTTATACCTCCAAGCGACATTCACATTCGAGTTCGAGTCCGATCTGCCGAGTGACGGTAGCCGACTCTTGCCACGATTGTATCATGCAACTCGCGAGCTTCCCCATGCTCGTCCCTGCCAGACCCCGCAAAGGGGCTCGACGCCAATCCTGCAACGACCACGCGGTCAGAGAGTTTCCTGCCACAAGTGAGAGATTTGAGAATGACATTCACGATTGGAGTGTGCACTGGGGATCGCCGGTGAAAGCAAGCCTGCAAATTTTGACTTGAACACTGCTGTGACTCCATAATGAGGACCCGCACAAAATGCTGGCTGGGGTGGGCACAGCAAGGTTCGCGCTGCAGCGTCAAACCACGCACGGCGAATTTCGACGAGGTTTGCCCGTGCACGTTTAG